TCATCACCCAGACAGAGAGGAAGCCAGACACAGAGCAAGCAAGATGTGACTGCCCTACCGAAAAAGGTACCAAGCCACATGGTTAACACAGACAAGAATTATGGGCTAATGGAAGTTGTAAAAATTAATTAATAAGAAGCCTGAGCTACTGGGACAATCAGTTTATAATTAGTGTAGACCTCTGCGTGATTTCTTTGGGATTTAACAACTGCAGGAACCGGGCAGGACAGAAACCTCAGTCAACATCTTATGTTGAAACCAAATCCTCAGTGGGATAGTGTTGAGTCACCGAGCCTTTGGGCAGTGATTTAGTTAGGAGGATGGTGTCTTCAGAAATAGGGTCCATGTCCTTGCAAAGATGCTAGAGACCTTGCAGCAAGGAAGGGGGGTGCTGCTATCTTGGAGCAGAATGGGCCCTGACTAGAGGCTGAATTTGTCAGCATCCTGATTTTGTACTTCCCAACACCCTTTTCTTGAACTCCTTAGACTCTGTGACTGACTGTGAGCAGTAGGTCTTGTTGTCTGTAATCACCCAGCCTGAAGTGTTTTGTTGCAGCAGCAGAACATATGAAGATACTCCCCAACTCTCAGTCCCTATTCTGTCTGGTCCCTGGAGACAACTTTTCTTCTTGTTCTAACTGGTTTCTCCTCCTCTTCTCTTGCTTTTTTTTTTCTTGACAATTTCTTCCTGTCTTTGTGTTGTTCCAGGTTCTCTCTGAGGGCTAGCTTGAGTTTATGACCCTATATACAATCCCCAAGTCCTTTTTTCTTCTTTTTTTAAGTCTATACTGTTTTACCTCATGAGTTCTTGCCATTTTGTACCATGCATCAAAGCTTATGGCCTGTTCTGGTTTAATGGTTTTAGATGTATAAAATAATATTACAAAGGAAGTCAATTATATTGAAATAAAGTTATCAAAAACATCTATTAAAACATATTTAAACGTGACAGTGTATCAAGCTTCTTTATTACTATGTGAGGAACCCAACTTAAAATGGTCTGGTAGGCACCACAATTTCCTTTCCATGTAGTGATGAGCAGAGGGGATATTTTCAGGTGTTTGTAGCAATATAATGCTATTAAATAATAGTATTTTTTCCTGGTTATGAAGTCTTGAGTTTTGTGAATCATTTTGTAGGCTTTAGCCTGCAGTTAAAATAGAAGAAAACATTAAAGTTCAGTTAGAAGCTAGTGCAAATCAAGACAAAATTTTCCTCTTTGCCCAAGTTCACAGGTCGTCTAAATACTGCTCATGCATTCCTTGCTGGGCGAGGGGACTGTGCCCCACATTGAGAACTCCTGGTCTGAGGCCGGGTGGTGGTGGCACACATCTTTAATCCCAGCACTCGAGAGGCAGAGGCAGGTGAATCTCTGTGAGTTGGAGACCAGCCTGGTTACAGAGCTAGTTGCAGGACAGCTAGATATGCAGGGAAACCCTGCCTCGAAAAAACCAAAATAATAATAAAAAAAAGAACTTGTCTAGATGCTTGAGCTCCCTTTGTTATGCTGTTAACTTCTTACCTTTGTTCTAAAATGTATCACAGCCACCTCCAAACCGGTAACAGCAACGATACATTGTAAGCCATTTATACAAGCTAGGATAGAGTTCAGGCTGAAGGAGTAAGGGCACTAATGGAAGATCCCTTGTGTTCATAAAGCAGTGACCATGACCTCAAGACTATCTCAGGAGCCTAAACCAGATCAGGGTTTACACTTGTCAAACCTGTCCTGAAACATGATTAATAAAAACTCAGAGACAGAAATTGGGGTTCAACCTGAAGGTCAGAAAAGCAAAACAGCCAGCTACTGGCTCTTACCTCTACCTCAGTTCGAAATGGTGATCCTGCCACCAGGAATCTCAGAATGAGACTGAGACTGAGACTGAGAATTGTCTCCTCCTGTTTTATAATCCTCCCTAGGGCTGGGATTAAAGGACACCACTGGGATTAAAGGCGTGCACCACCCGATTTCTGTGGCAACTAATGAGGCTATTGGGATTAAAGGTGTGTGTTACCACTGCATCGTTTGTAAGGCTGACCAAGGGGGCTGTTTTACTTTTTGATCTTCAGGCAAGCTTTATTTATTAAAATACAAATAAAATACCACTACGCTGTCCTCAGACACACCACACACACACACATACATACACACACACACACACACACACACACACACACACACACACACACATCTTCCCTCCCTCCCTCCTTCCCTCCCTCCCACCTGCCTTCCTCTGTCTCCATGATCTATCTGCACATATACCTTCCATTTCACACAAACCCTCTACTGCATGCTACCTGCTCCCCACCAGCCTCTATCATGTCTGCAGATGCCTAGAAGTTTGCTAAAGGTTTGCCCAACACACCTCCTCTGCCAGCTCTCTGCTCTCATAAAGGAACCCATATTTTTACTACTGTCCATCATTTCCCTAGTCCCTCCCACTTGCTTCTCAGTTCAGTCCTCCTCCATCTTCTTGTCTTGGAGTCCTCAAGGTGTCCGACTTGGTTCCGCCACTCACATTTTCACTCCACATCTGTCAGCCACAGAGTAGCCCTGATTGCTGATTATGACAAGAGAGCCACCCTTAGCACATCTGATGTCCTGCCCCGCAGTTTCAGATCCTGACAAGGGGGAGGGCCTCAGAGAGTGCTTGCTTAGTTGAGTTTCTGAGGAAAGAAGCAATGTCACGTCTTTCTAAAGCTCCCAGGCTCTCTTCTGAGAGTTCCACCACATCTCCAGCTGTCCCGCAGGCCTCACACCTCAAAAAGTCTCTTCTTCAAGCCCTGCCACCCAAGGGGAAGAGCACGCTTTCAGTCGGTGCCACTGCTTTATACCGAGTTCCCTGCGCTAGTTTCCTCTTAGTAATTGTGCCTTCTGGGAAGGAACTAGGGGAGTTGGTGAGAGCTGGAGGGCCTCAGAAAACAGGGGCTCTGAGGATTAGCAGTATCCTCAAGTTCGTGACACCAGCAAGCAATCTGGTTCAAAGTTGGTGTGTTTGCCTGGGGCAGTGCTGGTGACCAGCCATGGTGTTCAGGCCCACTGGGATTCTTCTCGCGCTAGAAATGGATGCTGGCTGACATTTCTGTGTGAGAATCCTATTTCCACAGGACACTTTGAGAAAATGACGTTGTGGGTGAATGGACCACAGGTGGTGTTTTTCGCTTAATGTTTCCTATGCCAACATGAAGGACCCTGGAAAATTCTGCAGAAAGAAACTCATTATGTAGGTGTATTCAGTGTTCCCCAAATCTCTGGCTGTGGAAAACAATCATCTATGTAAGACCCGTAGGCTAAGTACCTCATCTCTGAAATCCTTGAGACCTACAGTGTCCTAGGTTTGAGGGTCACCTTCCTAATTTTGAATATTTACAAATACCCAAATGGGACATCTTGGATGGGGCATAAGTCTAAACCTGAATTCTGTTTGTTTAATGAACACCTTACCCACGTAGCCTAAAGGCAAGTTTCAGTATTTTAAGTGACTTCTTGTGCATGCAGCAAGGCTCCACTGTGTAGAATTCTCCACATGCCACATTATGTCAAGAAGTCCTCCATTTTGGAGATGTCTAGACTTTAGAGCTTTGGGTTAGGCATACTTGCCCTGTATTAACGTACTAGAAAGCACACCTTGAAAAAACATTACCTTTTGTTATTGTACAGAGAAGATGGATGATTCAATACAGGATCCAACAGTGTCTCTGGTCTGTCAGTAGGTTGGGACCAGCGGCTTCCCTTCAGTGAGGACGGCTATGCTCAGAGTCACCTTCCCATCAGCCTGCCACCTGAGCCCACCGTGTGTTTGCTCACAGATAAGGCTACTCTCAAGCTCACCCCATGCTACAAGAAGACCACCAACATGGCTTCTTTCAGCAACAGCCTAGCCCAAGTTCATGTCCCTACAGGATACTGCCAGGGTGGAACCTGTGTGCTTCCTTATCTTCTGTTCTTGGTTCTCGTCCCAGGGATGTTTGCTGCTTGTATGAGTTACCCTTCCACTGCTGACGGAAGCAACTGAAGGGAAGGAGGTTTTATTTCAGCTCACGGCTTGAGAGTACAGCCCATCATGACGGGGAGATCACGGAGCCAGGGGCACGAGGTGGCAGGGAGGGGAATGCCAGCACTCAGCTGGTTTTGTCATTGGTCTGAGTCTGTAGCTCATGGAATGGTCCTCACAACCATGGTGGGTCTACCCTCCTTGATTTCCTTTTTCTGGAACAATACTCAGGGACATACCCAGAGGTGTGTTTCCATAGTGATTCTGAACCCAATCAATTAGACAGCGAAGACTCACCAGCCCACAGGTATTTGTCTAGAGCCTGTTAGAGAGCAGACCCGCCTGCGTATTGTGAGAAGCAGTAACATCAAGGATGTATTTTTCCTCACTGTATTCTGTCTCCATTTTGGGAATTTTAACCCTTTAGAGGTCAGGAAGAGATGCCACCTCAACCTCTGTCTTCTCAGCCACCTCTGTGCTGAATCCAGGGTAAATGCCCACACAAAGCTCAACAGTTTGGGTGTGAGAACATAAACACTCCTGTAGGCTGCATGCATGGTTCAGTGTGCGTGAGGAAAAATCAATGTTGCAAATCTCTTAATTCATTACTAAAGCCATTCCCCTGACCCGAGCAGTGAAGAATGATGCAGAGACAGAAATGGATAGCAAGCGAATTGCATGCCACTGTCGGAAGCGTGGCGCTGCTGGAAGAGTTAGAGCAACTGTCAAAGTCCCCCGATGTGTCCATTTTTATCAGTTCTGAGGGTGATGCGATGCCGTTAGAGAATCAGGTCTCATCTTCGCTTCTGAGCTCATCTGAATAATGCCGGCGAGGGGAGGGAAGAGCGGGATGAGGCATCCAGAGGCAGCCCTGGATCCGACTGTATAAATTTGAAAGAGGTAAGGGCAGGACAGCCTGGCCTTTTCAGCTTGCCCAGTACAAGGCAGGGTGGAAGGAGGTGAGAGGCACCGGAGTGGGCAGTGTTTGTCTTCACCCAACTGATCATGAGAGGTACCGTGCAAGTTTTCTTCGTGCTCCTCCTAGCAACTGTGTCCCACTGTGCAGTGATCACAGGGGTAAGTTTCTAGTCTTCTCCATAGGCTTGGGTTGGGGGCCGAGATCAGGGTTCTGCAAGGGCTGTGAACCGAGAACCAGGAAGGCTCTGCTGCTCCAATTCACCTAAAGCAAAGGGATTTGGGAGGTGGTCAGTGCCTGGGAGTGGGGATGCATATAATCTTCAGATGGGTCAGACTTCACTCTGATAGACAGAGTTAGGTTTCGCGAAGTTGAATTTAAATATAAGATTGTTTTACATACATTGGGAGGGCACTGCGATTTTAACATTGAGTCTTTAGTACAATGAAGATTCTTTGGAGCATGCCATAGGAAGTTCTACAGGGTGGATTCGTTCCCCCTTCCAAGTCCCATTTGTCTTGTGTACCTTGGTTTCAATTTACGTCTGGCCCTCTTGTCCATGTTATTCCAGAGCATGCTGGTGTGGCTCAGGGCAGAAGTGCAGAGTCCCACATCAGGTCTACTTTTGCTGTGAGAAAAAGTGCGCCAAATACCTTTCATCCTTTAGTGGGTCCCTAGGGTAAGAGGGGTGCCACCAACACCTCATTTCACCATTTAGTGGGTCCCCGGGGGAAGGTGCAAAGTGGTCTAAGGGAGGCGAGGCATCCCCTTCATAAAGAGCACAAAGAAAGAAGGTTGAGTTAGTCCAATGGAGTGAATGAAGGGGGGTGAATAATGGCCAAATGAGCGCTTGGTCAGAACAGTGTTGAGGGGAAGGAATCTGGGAGTGCTCAGCTTCCCCATTTCCCATGTCCCTTTGAAGTCCCTCTTCTGACTTCCAGAAAGACACCAGGTCCTTGAAAAAGTTTTTACGACCCAACAAACATCTCCGCCCACGCAATAATCCAAATCAGACCAAATTCAACCAAATTAGAAAAAGCCCAGGTTTAATGGATGCCAGTGTTCCCGGGTGACCTTCCAGGCCTCCCATGGACGGAGATGGAGGAAGAACGGAAAAACCATGGAGAAGGGAAAGGAAGACCAGAAAGACCGTGCGTTCGTTCTCTGGGTGGCAGTTTAAATAGCCTGTGGGAATGGTCTTGAGCCTCTCTGGGGAGGGGTCATCCTTGGTGGGCTTTCTTGGAGGTGGAGTCTGGACTGCAGAAACTCCCAGGGCAAGGGGCTTGGGATGGAAAGTTTCACCCAAACATTTCAGACTCCTTGGATATAGGGGTGCCCAGGGGCTGCCTGGACCCAAACATTCCAGACTCTTTGGGTATAAGTATGTTAGGAGCTGAGGTGACGCTTTCAACCAAACAATCCTGACCTCTCCACATTCCCTTGCTCCTTAAATAATGACAATCCAGGCTGTAGGTCCCAATTTCCCAGAGTGCCATGCCTGCCACCGTCAGGAGAGAAGAGTCCTGGTGGGGCCTGCTTCCCTCACCCTCAATGCTCAGGGGGCTGACTTAGGTGTGAGCTGTGCCCCTGCTGGGTTAGAGAGTAACTGCTGGTGACTGCCACCTGTACCGTCTCTGGTACAACCTGACCTCCTCATCTGGAAAAGTCTGGAGCTTCCGGCTCCTGTCATGGCCCACGCTGGCAGCCTGAAGGTGTTTCGTGGCCTGCTACTGGAGAAAAACAAAACTCAACTTCCAACTTCAAGTCTGAAGCCACTTGACCTCTGTGCCCTGTGGCCAGGTCGGCTATTTCTCCATTAGGCCCTACTTGCTTTCTTGACTCTGGCTCTGGGGTAAAGGGTGCTTATTTGACATTTCCTTACACAGGCATTAACCCAACAGGTCCAAACAGCCCAAATCAGAAGGATCCGTGTCAGGAGCCCAGAGAGGCCAGCAGGGAAACACTGGGGGGATCTCTGTCCACCAGGCTCCTGTGAGTTAGGTGGTGGGAGACATGCAGAGAGGCAACTGATAATGCATTCTGGAGGACAAAGATTC